AGACGCGCTTTTTCTGGAAATACTTATAACGGAAAACTGTTCCGTTTTAAGCATTTCCGGAAAAGGGTGCCAGTGTAGACGTAGCCTTCGGCACTTATTATCCTACCCACTAGTCATGTAAACCCTTTCCTAGAATATTAGTTTGTTCCTCACATTGCTCCCAGAACACACACCCCCCCCCCCCCCTTTCCCCCCAAACCCCCCCCCCCCCCACACACATTTGGTTCAGGGGATCCCAGTTTAAATGTCAAGTCACTATACTTTTCACCAGTGATTTCTGTATTAATCCCATCATCTCTGACCTGCAGCATGAACTCAGAGGTCAATAGGGTGTGGAGAGAGCAAGCCAAATTACAAACAAAGGCAGATCAAAACATGGCCCCCCCTTTCCCCCCAAACCCCCCCCCCCCCCACACACATTTGGTTCAGGGGATCCCAGTTTAAATGTCAAGTCACTATACTTTTCACCAGTGATTTCTGTATTAATCCCATCATCTCTGACCTGCAGCATGAACTCAGAGGTCAATAGGGTGTGGAGAGAGCAAGCCAAATTACAAACAAAGGCAGATCAAAACATGGGAGTGACACTCAGCCACAAGTGTAAACGCAATATGCCCCCTTTCCAATACGTATGATGTGAGTTTGCGGCCTCATGGACACCAGCAGGGTACTGCGATGGGAGGACTGACTGCATCTGGGGGTGCGTCTACACAGCACCCTTAGCTAGAAATAAACTACGCAATGTGTGGAGTGCAACTGGCGTAGCTTATTTCAAGTGTATTTCGAAATACTTATTTTGTAGTCTGGAGCGCTCTATACAGCGCCAAATTTCGAAATAACTCGTTATTCCGAAATGCCCTGTAACCTTGGCTATGTCTAGACTGCAGGCTCTTATTTTGTAGTCTGGAGCGCTCTATACAGCGCCAAATTTCGAAATAACTCGTTATTCCGAAATGCCCTGTAACCTTGGCTATGTCTAGACTGCAGGCTTCTTTCGAAAGATGCTCTTTCGAAAGCATCTTTCGAAAGAGCATCTTTCGAAAGATCGTGTCTAGACTGCAGGCGGATCTTTCGATAGAGGAAATCCGCTTTTTCGAAAGAGAGCACCCAGCGAGTCTGGATGCTCTCTTTCGAAGACGGCCTCTTTACATTGAAGAACGCCTTCCTTCGAAAGAGGAACTTTCGAAGGAAGGCGTTCTTCCTCGTGAAACGAGGTTTACCGCCATCGAAAGAAAAGCCGCGTTCTTTCGAAATAATTTCGAAAGAACGCGGCTTGAGTCTGGACGCAGGGGAAGTTTTTTCGGGAAAAGGCTACTTTTCCCGAAAAAACCCCTGAGTCTGGACACGGCCTTTGTGGAACAAGGGTTACCGGGACGTCGGAAAAGGCTGCTTCAATAGACACGGAATAACTATTTTGGGATACAGCTGGTGGCCCGACCCGAGCTAGCCCGGGGACCAGTGCCAGTGAGGATGCCACACTCGGGCTGTACCCGGCTACCCAGCACCCTGGCGCTCCGCGGGGGCAGCTCCCCTGCTTTTGGCACCCCCGCTA